GCAAAACCATCCAGGGCCCAATGAGCATTTTTAAGTGCCTACTATGTGTCAGGAGTCCTCGCAGGGTTTAAACTTTAGAAGGGTTCTCAACCATAAACAATGAAAACAAATAGTAATAAAGTTTTACTACTGTGAGAAAAATACATGGGATGGGTGGGAAGGTGGACGGAGAAGGATATTCTAGTAAAGGCGGTCAGGAAAGGCCTCTTTGAGGAGGTGACTTTTTTTTTTAATGTTTTTATTGATTTTTTAGAGAGACAGGAAGGAAGATAGAAACATCGATATGAGAGCAATATATCGATTAGCTGCCTCCTGCACGCCCCCTACTGGGGATTGAGCCTACAACCGGGCATGAGCCCTGGCTGAGAACGGAACCCGGACCTCTCAGTCTGTTGTACAACGCTCAATCCACTGAGCCTCACCAACTGGGCCAGGAGGTGACATTTAAACAGAGGTTGGATGACCAAAGGAGTACTCCAGGAAAAGGAAATATCTGGAGTGAGTCCTTAAAACAAGAGCAAATCCAATGCAGCTAACGAGTAGAAAAAGGCCAGTGTGATTGGAGTCAGGGGACAGTGGTGGGAGATGAGACTGAAGAGGTGTCTGGGAGGCCAGCAAAGAAGTCTGGACTTTATTCCAACTGCAATCAGAAGACATGGAAGGATTGCAAAGAGAGAAGAAATAAGATCTGATGTATTTGCTATGCTTTAGGTCACTCTGGCTGTGCTGTGGAGAGCAGGAACGAGAGTGGAAGCAAGAACATCAGTTAGAAAGCTATTACTGACGCCCAGAAGATGGTGCTTGTAGGAGGGTGGCAGCAACAGAGATAGAAATAGACAGACTGTGAAAATGTTTTGGAGGTAGGGTTAACTTGAATTCCTTGTGGACTGGGGGTGAAGACTGATGAAAAAAGAAGAATCATGAATGTCGACATGCTTTTGAGATTTGAGCAGTTGGTGGATGGTGATGTCGTTTAATTGAAATGAGAAGGCTTCAAAGAATAAAAAACTTAGGATTTCTGTATTATTTCCTTCTTTTCCTATGCAGCCTTAACAGACCATGATTTTATTCTCTTCCCAATACCTTTACTTCCTCCTCTTACTTGCCCTTTAGTCCTTATCCAAAAGAACTTCCTCTATCTACCTCCTCTGCTCCTCAGTCCACTGCAATCTCGTTACTACCCCAATAAACTCCTTCTTGCCAAACACAACAATGACCTCCTTGTTGCTGAGTCTGAGGACTTGCAGTCCTCATTTCTCTTGACCTTTCTCTAGCATTTAATACTGTTGCCAATTCCTCCCTTGGCTTCTCTGAAACTACTTGTTCCTGGTCCTGCTACCTTTCTGGATGTTCTTCCTCCGTATGTTTGTTTCCTCACTTTTCAACGTTGGCATTTTCATAAGGTTCCAGAGTCGGTCCTCTTCTCTTCTTACACTATACCTTTTCTGCTGGGGATTTAATCTACTTTCATAAACCATCACATTCTGATGATTCCAGCACAGATCTCTCTCGAGTGCTAAACTCCCCTGTTCAATTAGGTAGTGAAAAGCTTCACTTTGATATTCCACGAACACTTCAAACTGAACATGTTTCAAATTAAACTGATTACCTTCCCTCTTCAGCCTACATTCCCTCCTGAAGTCCCCATCTTGGCAAAGGGTACCACTATCCTCCCATTTACCTAAGTCATAAATCTTCCATTCTTAATCCTGCAGATATAATCAATAATAATGTTCAGTTGGTTCTTTATCTTAAATATGTCTTGAATCCTTCTCTCTCCATTTCCATTCTTGCTGCCTTAGTTCAGATGCCCGCCATTCATTTCCTATAATGCTAATCTCCTAACTAGTCTCTCTGCTTACAGTGTTACTCACACTAATACATTCTCCAAACTGCAGTGATCTTTTTAAAATGGACATGCTCCTTAACATTCATCAGTGGTTGTCCATCGGCCTTAGGATAAATGGAAACTTCTTAGGAAGACATATAAGACCTTGCTGATCTTTCTGGGTGTGTCCCTCAGATCTTCTGCCATGCACCCACACAATGTATTTACTGATAATCGACTACTTTACAGGGTACTGTCCTTCCCTCTCAACTCTCTGGGTACACCTTTTACCTCTAGGACTTTTCACATGGTACTTTCTTTGCCTGGAATACATTTCTCTTTAACTTACCCACTTGTCTACTTATCTTTCAGAACTAACTCCTTTCCAAATTCATCTTCTATGGTTAGGGACTCTGACTATGGCCAGTCATGGCTGGGTACACTTCCATTGAGCTCTCTTGTTGACATCATCTCACTGTTGTGTGATCAACTGTGTACTTATCTGTCTTCTCATTATATCGAAGGTCCTTCGGAGCAGACTGTTTAATTTGTCTTTGTATTCCCAGTGCCTTGCACAGTACCTGACACAGAGCTCACACTCAATAATGAATAAATAAAATGGCAGAGTTGGGTTTCAAAGTCAAGTCTTTTCTCTCTGGCACAAATCTCACATTTCTTCATGCTACTGCTTAACATTTGGAACCTGAATTTTTCAAAAATCTGTGTTAGGTATATTTTTGCCTATCATGAATTAAAATACAGATAACTAGATTATTGGCTCCATGAGGATTCAGCTGATTATTTCTTTCTTGTGTAGCTAGCTCTTCCTCGTCATTCCATTGTTTTGCTCATCAAATTATTTTCGGTTAACTAAATGCAAAATGCCTGAAAGCCCTCTTACAATTTTATATCCTTTCTATTGCTTCTACAACACCACCATGCAAGCAGAGTAAGTATATTGAGAATAAGATCGATTTCATTTGATTGTCTGAAAACTGACACTAAAAAATGATGTATCAGCAGCAAATCATTTCCCATTACAATTTCCTCCAAGGTCTCTGTGGATAGGTAATAAAGTTTCAGTGTCAAAATTTAGCATTGCAAAATCCAGCTAAAATTGAAATTTTTATGTAGTGAATTCAATATAATCACAGAATTTTGTAAATGGAAGTAAACTTAGACATCATTTAGTCCAGCACTGCTGTTAAGCTTCCACGAGGGAACTGATAGGAGAAGAAAGACCTAACTTTCTCCTAAGAAAGTGAGAAGAAATTCCTTTCAATCAGCTGACCTTTCCTCAATGCCATATACATCCTATTGTTTTCCACCTGAACAAATTATCTACATCAGAACCCACCAAACTGTTTACATAATGCTTATCTTTATGATATTGCCTTTGTAATATCCTTGTTATAAAGAGGAAGGAACTGAAAAAAAAAAGCGAGGGACATAGAGGATTAGTAAAAGAGACCACTGGTACGTAAAGGGATGGGCTCCTATTTGTAGTACAGCCTTGTGATCAGTGTTCTCTGAGCGCCCCAATGCTGACCCAAGCTTCTCTGCGCTCCTGGGGCCTGGATTCCATTCAACTCTATGCCTTATTTGGTCTAAATTATTTTCCCAGCTTCAATGTGTATTTTTTGAGCTTCATTTTAGAAATATCATCCTTCAGTCTGCTCTCTACTTGAGTTTGTTTTAGTTCTAATGCTGAGGAATGAAGATTCTGGGTAAAAGAAAATAAAGATGGTGGGTTTTTCTAAGCTTTGCATGTCAAGAATGGTTTCTTGAAATGGCCACTGGTGAGCTACTTTATTCCTCAAATGATGACATTTTTCCATGCGAATTAGTATTTAATTGGGCTAATCTGTTTTCACGGAAAGCACAAATTTCTTTCCAAGAGGATCAGTTTGATAATGTTTTACCAGCTAGTGCTATGAGACCAAATATAAACCAGTTCTGAGAAACAGGAAGTGAACCTGACTGGTCTAGTCTGCGTGTCCCTGGCAGTGACGCAAATACAGAAATCAAATTAGGAAAACAAGATCTGTGGGTGTGAGGCAATCGATAATAATCCAGGATGCTACGACACAAGCAAGAACAGTTCTAACCAAATGCCATTCATTTTAACAACACCCTGAGAAGTTTGACTTCCACCTAACATGCTAGTGATTAGAAAGCAGGATGAGCCTGAGTTCCCTAGCAACAGCATGTGCTTTTGAGACAGTCATTAAACCCACCAACCCCTTACTTTTCTAAACATATGACTGACATTAAAAAAAAAAAGAAGAAAAAAAAATATGTTTCAGAAAATGCTTTAAAATTTCCAGGAGTAAAATGGAAAGGAATAATAATAATAAAAGGGTTTCCCTGAGAATTGCACTCAGGTTGAAGAAGTAATGTTCGTGTGTGCCCAGCCTGTCCCTTCGTTCACTGCCCTCAGTTCTGTTTCTGAATCCCCTGTGGTAAAGGGCAGCGGAGGTGAAATTGGTCCGAGTTGAAGGCAGTCCCCTCACCCAACATGAATCATGGTCAGATAGTGCGGTGGATAGTGGGGTCCGCAGTTTGTGTTGAGTGGAGGCTGACGGGGATGTAAGGGAGGGGATATAAACGCACAGTCTTCTTTCTCCTTTAGGCAGAATAGATTACCCAGGTTGAAGGAGGGTGGTGAGGAGAAATGAAACTATTTTTCCTATTGATTGTTTAATTGCACCAGTGGCTGTTTGTCTGAGGCCACTGGCCAAGAGCATTATTTTCGTGGCTAAAGTGAGATTGGGCAGGTTTCCATACCCTTCCCTAGTTTCAAACGAGACAACTCCTAAAGCTCAGCCAGGCTGTAGGAATATGGTGTATGTTGACTTTTGCTACTCAGCTCTACCATAAAGAGCCAGGGCTCTTGGGATGATGGGTCTCAAACCCTGAATGATTGCCTCTAGCTCTGTTCTGGGTTCGGGATGTACAACTCCTCTGTGTAGCCTGAGTCAACTGCGGGCCATTATTCGAATGGTAATTATTGCTGCGTTTTTCTGGTCATCCTTATTATGGCCTGGGTCCCTTTCAGCTGGACACTGGGCTCCGTCAATTTGGCCCAGGTGACTCCTCTTTCTCCCCACCTCCCCACTTAACCCCCAGCGCGCTCCCTTCCCAAGGCGACCACCTGCGCCGCCCCACTTACCATCTGCCCGCGGGGAGGGCCCCTCGGGGTAGCGGAGCCCTCCCTGCTCCAGGGCGGCTCTGGGGGAGCTCGGTGTTTGCCTCCAGCCCTTCGCTACCGGAGAGATCAGGTTCCTCCCCTCCTCCCCCTCCAGCTCCGGCCGCCCTCTTCTTGCATGACACAGCAGAACCGCAGCTGCTGCAGCAAGTCCCAACCATCCGCCCAGGAAGCGCCGCAACCCGGGCCCAGGAGGGGCGGAGGGGGGCGAGGCGGGGGGGCCACCGCTGAGGGGGGTTCTTGCCCCCACTTTGCACCACACACTCCTTTCCCAGCCCAGAGGCACGGGCACAAAATCTGGCTAAAACCGACCAGGCCAAGCTGTTGAGGAATGCTGGGGTTTGGCGTCAGAAGGGATGGGACCAGAGAGAAGGGTGCGAAGGAGACCCCAGTAGGGGCAGGGCACTGCAGGTAAAGAAGGGGAAGAAGAGGCCCAGAAGTCAAGGGCCAGGCTGTGAAGGAGAATAAAGGAGGTCAAAGAGAGGTAAGGAGGTAGAGTTGCTGAGAAGGGCAACAGAGCTGGAAAGGGGGGTGGGGTGGGGGGAGCTGCCGGGGAAGGAGGTCTGGGAGGGAATATTTGGGGAGGCCTGAACTAAGTACCCTGACAGCACAGGGCTGAATTGGGAGGTAAGGGGAGAAAAGAGGAGAGGGTTGGAAGAACTGTGCATTGGACAGGAAGGTAAAAATTGGGGGACATATTATGATTATTAGAAGGAATGTAGTGGAGCTCATTCATCATGGCTGATGAGGTAAACTGATGAGGTGGAAAGAGATACATACAGTCAGGGGAAAGCCAAGAGAAAGGGCGATTTCCCTACTCTTAGTTGTATTCGAAGTTTTTCATAATTCCGCCAATCCAAACAGACAGTTTTCCTTATAAATGGAAAAGCATGAACTAAAACATAGAAACAGTTTTTAAGCTTAGATTTACAGAATAAAATCTCCATGGTCTACACAAACTTTAAGGCAGAGATTTCGGATTTAAGTAATCAGCCCATAAAGGGGTTGTGATTCAGTAGTAACGAAGGCACTCAAAAATGAAGTTACAGTGTCCACACACCCCTGGACTTGAAGTTTTTCATAGTGTTTAAATGTTAGAAATGATAACAAAATTATTGGTTCAAAATATTATTAAGATGCTCATGTTTCTCTCTCTCTCTCTCTCTCTCTCTCCCCTCCCCCCCTACACACACACACACACACACACCCCTATAATTTCTAGCATCTAGCATGCAAAGTATGGTTAAGGGGAAAATGTGTTTTCCTGATTATTTTCTTTCCCACCAGCCGTTCTACGCATTTTACAGCAGACCAGCTGCTTCTCCCCATTTCAAAGAATGTGGTCAGAAAGTAATGCAGAAACTGCCACTTTGGTTTTGTCTGTACCTTCCAGGTCATATCTTCGTACCTCACTTCCTGACACAAACAAGTTTTCACTGTTGTCAGCAACAAAGCCCTAATATAGCTGCGGAAGAAAAAAACTGCATCGCATTTTGTCTCCTGCAAGCATCATCCACAGTTACCGGAGGAATGTAATTCCAGAAAGCTTTAAAGCTGGTGGTGATGGTAATTATGTATCAAATGCCTGATTCTATTTCTGTTATTATTATTTTGTCATTTCTGTTCTACCCAAGAGCTGGCTGAACTCGCAGAGGTACAAATCCGGTTTTTCTTTTTGATTTGATAAAATTTAATCAGACCTGATAGAGAACTCACTGCTTCTTGGGAAAAATAAAGTAGGAGCCACGAAATGTCATTTTAACAGAGCGTGGGTTTTGTGACTGTAGGAAAGGATTTAAGGACGCTCCTTCTGTTCGGTTTTCTATGTAATGAGCAAAGGCTCCGCGCACGCACAGACGCCGCAGCTCCCGGATGCTGTGGCTCCCTTATCTGGGCTTCGGCAGCCCCAGAAGCCCCTCCGGGATGCTGCGAGGGGCTCTCGGTGGGTGGTGGTACGAAGGCTGCGTCCGCCGCCGTCAGTCCTGCTGCTGTTGTTGCTGCTGCTGCAGTCACGTGGGAGCCCCTTTAAGTTTCCATAGAGAAGCCTCTCCGGTGTCACATGATGGACATGATATAATGAAACAACGTTGTGGAGAGGAAAGCATTAGGGGAGCCCACGGCTACGAAAACAAGTGAGTGAGAAGAGGTGGGAGGAAGAGAAACTACGCCACCTCCCCTGCAGCCGGGCCGCACGCAGGAGCAGCCAGCGAGACGGGGGCGACGCCGGGGGGGAGGGGGGACGGAGAGACCGGGTCCTCAGCCCCGGCCTGGGGACCCCGCCGCCCACCTCGGAGACAACAACTTTTAGCCAGCAGCCTCGGCCAGCACTGCACCTGTCTCCCGAGCCTCCATCGCTCCCCGTGACGATCAAAGGGAAATTCTAGAAGAATATGCTGTACAAACATACATGCGCATCGTTTTCCCCCTTGCGTCTTGCTCTGGAGGAAGGAAAGAGAAAGGGATTTAAGCAGCAGCTTGTGTTCATCCTCAAGGTAAGTTCTGGAGGGTGGGGAAAGCCGGCCCCGCCGGCAGGACTTGGGATGGGAGTCTTGTTCTCCGCTTAGACCTCTCCGGGGAACGAGGCGTCCCCTCGCTGCTGGCGAGGCGGATGGGTCCGATGGTCCAGCAGGAACATTTCCACCGCGGACGCTGTTATTTCCTCTTTCGCACGCCCCGAGGTCCCACCCTCGGACTCCGGGCCCCCGCCCGCCCCCAGGAGGGGGCCGCAGGTCGTGGCGGGCTGGTTCGGACCGGGAGGGAAGGTGGGGGTCGTGGCGTTCCCGGGAAAGCCGGGCGGTTTCGCCATGTTTGTGCTGCTGAGAGCACTTTTCCCCCCTTTGAGGTGGCTAGATGCCACATGGCTCCTCCGGAGCCGCTGCCGGGCTGAGAGTTTTTTTTTTTTTTTTCAATGTCCGCATTCCAGCTAATGTTGCGCAGATAAAATTCAAACTTGAGGTAAACAGAGGAGGAGGAGGAGGAGGAGGGGAGGGAGGGAGGCTGTTTCCATTTCGAGATCCCACCTCTTCACTCCGCGGAGACCGACATCCCGAACCTCGAGAGCGCTGCCTCTTTCTCCCACCTACCCTACCTTTGCTGTCTACCAGAAATCAGGTGGCACGGGAAGGGGGTGCTCACAGAGGACGTGGCGCCGGGCTCCTCAAAGGGGAAAGCACCCCGGGCACTCGGGCCTCCGGCTGCGCCCTCCGTCCGCCAGGAGGGACGTAGGATGCCTCGGTTTGCTCTGGAGCTGGGGGACGGGAGGACAGCGCTCCGAGTGGGGCGAGGGATGCCTGGCCCCTCTCACTCCCTCTTTAGGGACCCGGACCGAATGGTCCCCACCCCACTCGGGCGCGGGCTCCAGGAGGCGGGCGGGGTGGGTGTCCAGGTGTCCAGAGGGCAGGTGGAGTGGCAGGTGTGGTGGGCATTTCTGTTTGTAAGTTGACTGGATGGGACGGCGAGGGAAGTCTGAAGGCGAGTGGACGGGCACAGCTACGTCTTGTGTTTTGGCGAATTAGGGAGGAAGTTCAGTGCGCTCCCACCCTGCCCCTGCCCCTGCCCCTGCCCCTGCCCCTGCCCCTGCCCCTGCCCCTGCCCCTGGTGTGCAGACCCGGTTCGGAGCTGGGAGCTGGGCTGAAGGGTGAGTAGGGATGTCTAAGGGCGAGGGGGAGCTCCGTGTTGTGGAAAGCCAGGCTCTGACAGCTTGTAGGCATGCCTCCACCCCCGGCGGGAGAGGGGCCGGGTGGCCCGGAGCGCTGACGTCCTGGGGGTGGGAGCTGGCTGGGGTCCCCAGGTGCCGAGGGTCCGCGGCCCTCCTCGCGGGGGGAGTGCCTTGGAAGGAGGCGGCGGCCACGTGAGCGTGGTCTGCGGAAGCGCTAGAGCTGAGAGGAGGGCGAAGTGCGCAGCAGAGTCGTGACAGGGGCTGACACGAAGCCGCCGTGGGCGGTGGGCCGAGGAGGAACGCAGACTCGCGCGGGCCGACCCCAGAGCCATGGCGACCGTTTTATTCCGAGCAGCGTCCCGGCCACGGTGGGTGCGCACTCCAAGGCCCTCTCCTGGGAGTCCGTTTCCGGCGGGATCCCCGCCCGAAGCCAGGGCTGTAAACAGGGTGGCGCCCTCTGCCCTCCGGCCGGGTCTGCCTGGGCGCGCGGCCGGCAGCGCCCGGGGTGGCGGAGGCGCGGCTGCGGCGCAGGGCAGTGGCAGCGGGGACGCGCCCGCTCCCCGCCACCCCTGCGCGCCCCCGCTGCCACCCGGTGCCCGGCCTCCTCTGTTTTTGTTTTGATGGAGCCCGCGTGCAGCTGGCGCGTGTCAAGTCACGTGCCGTGGGCGGGAGGGGAGGGCACGGTGACGCACGGTCCCGAGGGCCGGGCGCCCGTGGGGGGTTGGGGGGAAGGGGCGAGGGGGCATGTGCCCCAGCCGGATCCGGATCGCTCCGGAGGTCAGGTTGTGGGAGTTGTTCCTCGGTGGGCAGCACTCGGCTGTGGGTGTAAATCCCACCGCGCTCCGGAGTTCGTCGTCACAGCATCTCCGTGAGCCTCCCAGACCCGGGTGGAGGGGCCGGCCTGCGCGCTGATTCGGTCACAAATCCGGCAGATTTTACCTGTGTGTGTATCTCTGGGCAACCAGAGAGCTTTAGAAAGAATTCCGATGCCCCACCCAATTCAGGACCAACTGAACCCAAATTCAAGTAGTGCTTTGGACATTGTGTATTTTAAAAATCACTCCCTAAGTGTTTTTGATGTCGAGGGAGGGGTGACAGTATATAGAGCTAACCTGTTTAATGGAACAGACAGATGCAAAACCATCAATCTTTAGGGATGAAATGGTAAAAATAGCTAAAATAGCTAACATTTATTGATCAGTCACTACATGGGGTCACTATGTGCTGGCGTTGTGGCTACGCAGACATGGATGTACGTACTTGATGAAACATTGTTTACCCATTTTACAGCTGGGGAAATGGACGCTCAGGATGTTAAAATTGGCCAGAGATGATCCTTGACCTGGTAGGCTGACTCCAGAATCCATACTCGACTATTACATGCTGCATTAGAAATATACCTTTACCTAAGGGCCACATGTTTGTGTAACGAGGACTAGTTACCTGTTTGCCTGTGGGCCAACCAGTTTATGTGCAATGTTTATATATTAGGTATTTTTTTTCTGGTAAGTTCTGCTTGTATTAAAGCGAGAAGCACTCTGTGAGTCCGGTAAGGCCTAGAGGCTACCAATATTTCAAGGAGTTTCTTGTGAAGAGAAGAGTGAGGGGATCTTGGTAATTTGAAGAAAACGCATTCCATGGGAGTTGTTCGTTTGTTTGTTTGTTTTGAGACTTGAACATACACATAAAGTGAGAGAAAGAGTCTCGAAAATGCAGATATTTTCCAAGGATTTACATGAGCAGCTACAGAAGCCCGTTAGGTTGCTGGGCATGATACAGTTTAGGGTGGGTACAGACAGGCTGCAGCCGAAAAGTACAAGACAGTGTACAGAGTAGTGTAAGTTCTGTGAAAATTTTGGAGGAAAATGACTACTTTGTGGTCTGGAATACAGAAGCATAGTTTCTATAACCCTATTCTCCTTTTGATTTATTGCGTGTTCTCCTGGTCAGATAAACTCTCAGTGGGAATATTTAGATACGAGGGTAATCCATTTGTTTTGAAAATGTGTTCATTGACATATTTTCTAAGGGTTTTTTTCCTCAACTAAAAAATGAAAACAGAGGGTTACAGTTACGTTTTTCTATTATTAAATATGAATTACTATATGGTGCTGGGTCCCAAAGAAATGTCTCGGCATTCCTACTAATGACTGCTGTCCAGTATTGTCAGCTGCATGGCAGACGTAGGCAGAGAACTTGTCAAGTTTTAGGGATTGATTTTCATGTTGCAAATTTTGGTGAGGAAAATCGACAGACCTATCAAGGCAAGCTTGACATAATCCTCTAAGTAATGTCATGTTGGGGTCGGGCATGGAAATAGCTCCCTAGCCCCATGTCCCTCCCTCATTCTCATTCCCTGTCCTGTTGACCACCAGAGACACTTTCTCCAGTGTTGCCAAACCACTGGGGGTTTCTCTGCACAGCCCTGCCTAGGTTTCTCTTCTGCAGTGTAACTCCTTCAGAAAAATTCCTGTTTTCTGAGAAGAAGGTTTCTTGTCGAGTTTCTGAGAAGGTTTTTTTCTCAGAAAACACTTCAAAAATACCCTCACTGTGTCACCTATATGTCTTTTTTTTATTTTATTTTTATTTATTTTTTTTTATTATCCTCACCCGAGGATATTTTTCCATTTTTTGTACAGATAGAGTGGGAGGGAGAGAGAGGAAGGGGGAGAGAGAGAGAAACATCGATGTGAGGGGACACATCGAGTGGCTGCCACCTGCACGACCAACCAGGGCCGGGGACAAACTGCAACCGAAGTACGTGCCCTTAGCGGGAACCGAACCCGGGTCTCTCCAGACCGCAGGCCGATGCTCTAACCGCTGAGCCAAACTGGCCAGGGCTCACCTATATGTCTTGAACACACATGCCTCACAACATTCATCACAACATATCATATTGTTTTTTTGTTTTGTTTTTTAATCCCCACCCGAGGACATTTTTCCATTTTTTGTTCAGGTAGAGTGGGAGAGAGAGAGAGGAACAGAGAGAGAGAAACATCGATGTGAAGGGACACATCGAGTGGTTGCCACCCGCACAACCGACCAGGGCCGGGGACAAACTGCAACCGAGGTACGTGCCCTTAGCAGGAACCGAACCCGGGTCTCTCAGGACCGCAGGCCGACGCTCTAACCGCTGAGCCAAACCGGCCAGGGCTCATATTGTTTTTGTTTACAAGTTGGACACCTCTACTAAATTGTGCTCATGAAAGGTGGGAATGGTGATTATTTACCTGTGTGTCATTGGCACACAGTAGGCACTTAACTTTATTGCGTCAGTCTGAATTGATTTTGAGTTGCGCTATTAGTGTTGGTGTTTGCCTCTATCACCCATCTTCATTCTTAACTGTCCTCACCAGCTCTGCTGCTATTCACTGGGCTAAAATACATCTTTGCACAGAGAATACAAAATACTACCAACACATTCTTATGAAGAGAATAGGGAGGATGGGGCAAAGTGGAAGCAGTTTTTCACTTGTTTCCTAATTTCATTCTCAAATGACCAGTGGGCCAGCATGTCTTTTCCTGGTTACTCGTGTACACTGGGAGAGATGCTTACCATTATCACTTTTCAATTTATTTAGGAAGGAAGAAATGGTACCGCATTGCTGAGGGACATACCTTTATGTGCCACAGCCAAGTACAGGTGCTTTATCACATTTTATTACGCTGTAAGTTTCAGATTTAGTATTATCAGAGGTATTTGTAGAGCAGCACTGTTCCATAGTGCTCTCTGAGATGATAGAAGAATGACTATGATGATATATCTTTAATGACTTAGAAGTGATAGTCACTAGCCACTTGAGGCTGTTGAGCACTTAAGTTTGGCTAGTGTTA